TTTTTATCCCGGCTCATTAGCTGGTTTTCTTTAGCATAGGCACAGAAATTTTGTTTCTGAAGATGAAGCATGCCAGGAAAATTTTTCAGTCGTCAGTAAGTCGAAGCAGGCATAGAAGTACGCGAGGAGCAGAGTTCGGGGCGCTGCTTGGCTCAGGAGGGCATTCTGCACTTTCGCTGGTTACGGTTGCAAGAATTTACGGGTTTTCGCAAGGTAGCCTATGCAAGCTTCGCAGAACCGCATTTAGTGCCCCACCACGGCGAATCGCGCTAAATTAGACTCTCATGAGAGAACTGCTTGGTGATAAGGGGACCCGATGAAAATCTGCAACTCAACCGCAGCGAGCATCTGGGAAGACTTGCCCAAAAAGGACTCCTTCAGTAGAAACGAGCTGGTCCGCACGCTGTAAGAGAAAAGGTGTTGGATTATAGTGTCCATCCATAGAGGCTCCTGGAGTCGATGAAGGCTAAGGTCAAGTCCAGTGACGTCTAAACGGAGCCGCATGTGCCAGACCGCTGCTCTCAAGACTCACCAATCGTTGTGTAAAATAGAACGGAGGGAGGGGTCCTATCTGATAGCTGGATGGGGGAAGAAGGCCGTATTTTGCTGTGAAGAAATTTCTTCTGATTGGTGCCCTCTCTCACGCGGGTCATGTCCCCCTAAGTAGTGAGCGGCTCCGCGATTTCTACTTCTCACACTTTATCAAAAGTATCTACCCCCCTCAACGCTCAACGACAAAGCTTGCTTAAAATTTGGTGAGATGGTAGGTAGTTTTGTAGAAGCGGGTCGTAAAGGAGGAAATCCTAGGAGGGTGGGGGTCGTATTTTGCGAGAATTTCGCACAACGTGATGATATGCCTTAGTGACACCTTTATTGTGTTTCTGCAGAGACGAACCTTTTCTTATCTAACACGTTCGGAAGCGTTGACACTTCATGGTGTGCCATAACATTTTCCTTGTGTTCCCCGCATGGTCTACATTGTATTCTATTTCGATGTTTTAAATTATTCGAGGACACTTTTGTGATCGCTGTATATTTTCGTAAAAAAGGAAAAAATTCAGGATGAGATTACTGATTTATTCTGATGTTTTACAAACACCTTGTTTGTCTATGTTTTTGTTGCTTTCTTCTTTTTCTTTCGTTGTTGTTTTTGTTTCTCGTTTTTCTTCCTTTGTCCGAAATGATGCTTTCTCGGTCTAGCGAAATCCCGGCAGAAAGGCGAGTCATCGAATGTATTTAGCTACTTGCAGTTCACTGTTAAAATTTGCTGGCCCTGTTTTGAGATTTCTTTCTTTGTTGGGTAGAGTGCTGTGCCGCTCGCAGTAGTGCTGTCGCACGCATTTAGGCGCTTTCCAAACCGGGAAGCCCAGAAAAATCCGCCAGCTTTTTCAATCGAGACAAGCGCTTCACCACAATCTAGACGTGATGAGTGGTCCTTGGCCGGCATTCAATCCCCTCACTTGCCGCATTCCGCAAAACACACAGCCCGACGCCTGATAATGAAAACGCTTAGCGCGAGGGTCAGGTGGGGCACCAATCGACTGGATGTGGGCTGACAAGTGACTTTTGCCAATTGTCAGACGGCTTAACTCGAATACTGGCAGCACCTTTTGTCAAGCAACAAGCTTTTTTTTATAAGAGGGGTTTTTTTCGAATGTCATTGAGCACTTCCGGGCAAAAACTTCCAGGAAAAAAATTGAAAGTTCAGGCACTCATGCTCAGCTTTTTCCATTGATATGGAGTTTTTACTGAAAGGATGCTTTGGCTTTATCGTGATTGCGCGCCTTGACTGAAATGGTAGAGAAATAAATAAGCCAATAAATATGTATATGATTAAAGATACATATAAGCGAACAAATATCTTTAATTTTGCCATGTCGAAGTTCATCCGGAATGCTTCTTCGGGGCCTTTCCTATCGATTAAATTTAGCTTTAGAGAACAAGTTACTAGTACTAGTTACTCCACCCTCCTATCCCGTATTGTTCGTTCGGCACAACCCCACCCACAACCTACCTACGGTTTTACTAAATGATCCCAAAATGTTACTTCTTCGCTGAAAGGGATATACTGTGCGCGTGGAAAGCCATCAAAAATCGCAAGAACTCTTCTGTGTGGCCAACACTACCCCCCTCCCTCCCGTTTTGCTCCTCAACGACGGTGCACCTTGCTTCAGATCCCTCGAGAAATGTAAAATTTCAAAGCACGCTTGCACTCGTTCTTGAGAGAAAGGTCAACCTAAGAGAGACACCTGGGACCGAACTAATTCCTTTCGATTGGTTATGTTAAAATCTTTTTCAATGTATAAATTTGCTTTCAAAGGGTGTGAGATTTCAAGTTTGATTTTCTCGCAAAAATTAAATTTCCATAAAAAAGCATTCCAGGAGTGTTTGAGCCCATTATAGCAGTCTACCTCTACCCAGTGCTTTTTTCCAGATTGAAAGGGTCCCAATAAATTTTTTTCATTACAGCTTCCGGAATTCCGCCAATATATCACGCTCCACTAATTGATACATCTGCTGCTATCAAAAAGCTCTATAAATCTTTCCGCGCTCGTGGGACTGGAGCTTGTCTGAAAGGATGGGACATCGGGATTTTCCTTATATCTCTCAGAGCAGAAGCAGGCGCTGTTTCGTTTTGGTGGAGACAGACCTGTACAAACTGTTAACCAAAAGAAATTGAGTGGTATTTTTCATCTGAAAAGAATGTCAGTCGGAAAAGATATCCCATATCATATTTTACTCTCCTCGAAATCACGAGCAAATAATAATCAGTAAATAATAAATAATAATGCAATTGATCATAGTGAAATAATAATAGAATAATGAATGATTATAATGAGTAATTATAGAGTTGGACGGATTACAAGCTTTTCGTTTGGAATCGAAGACTATGGTGGTAGTCGTGTGTTCTCTACGGCCTTCGGACACGATCTGGTTACCAGACATCGTCCTTTATAACAAGTACGGCTACCTGTTTTTCTTTTACACTCTACTGTTTTTTCCTTTACATAATTCAAATATGTCGAGTTTCTATACGTGACTTATATTCCCGTCATAACATGTCGCGCGTATGTGTCGCGTTGGGCGGAGTCAAGCCATGCACATTCGTAGCCTCTTTCTATTAGCTGTGTCCCGCCTTTTGCCTACTACTTCCGATATATACGACTCTATTTCAGTGCCGACGGAAACTACCAAGTCACCATCATGACAAAGGCCAAATTGTCATATAATGGCACCGTCGAATGGGCTCCACCGGCCATTTATAAGAGGTTTGTTTGCTTCACCTGAAGTTTTGTTTATATTTCAATCATTTTGGTTTTTAGCATGTGTCAAATAGACGTCGAGTTTTTTTCCATTCGATCGACAACAATGTGAAATGAAATTTGGTGAGCGCAAGTAAAAAATTTTCATCTTCTGTTTATTCTATTTAATATTTTTTCCCAGCTGGGGAGGCAACCGGAGCACTGCTAAACTCTAAGTCTCTATACATTTGGCCATCTAACTGGTAGCCATCCCTGGAATCTAGGCAGCGGGGTACGTTGTACGCTGAAAATCCTTTCGCAAGGGATTGTGGCATTTGACTGCTGGAGGGAGAGGTTCCTAGTTGGACGCTAGAGTAAGAGAGGTTTAATTTGCTCCTGAAAAAAATTTTTTTTTGACTGTTGACTTTTCTTTTAAGTTTTTGCTTGGTTGACTGGCGTTCCGCTTGGCGGCTACGGTGGCTAATTGGGAGTTATTCTGCGGAAGACACGGCAGGGACGGTGCCCTGGTAGCTGTCGTTACGTCCAAGGTGTGCGACGAAACTGGCATTCTCAGCGGCCATCCGGTCACTCAAAACTTCATATGAGGCTGCTCTCAGGAGGTCACTTTTCCGGCGGGCTGAGTCACGTCATGTCTGGGCTCGGACTGCGTCCCTCTACCTAGACAGGTAACGCGGCTTGTTAGAAGCTTCTTCAAACATGACCTAGCTAAGCGTTCATTGACAATGTCCCTAGCTGTCTACACCCCAGTGGAGACGAGCGAATTCTGAAGCAAAGCACGAGTTTTGTAAAATGCCCCCTCCAAGCCGTTCAGCGCTCATCTTCTCCAAACCGTTCATCCTTTCCTAACAATATACCTGGTGAAAGTTTTGGTGTTTTTTGCCGACCTACGCGAAGAGCGCAGCATATTTGCAAGAAGTGATGACGCAAACTCGGCGCTATTCCAGAAATTCCTCCATATTTTCGGAAGTCAGTCGGGAATCAACGTGTGCCGTGGGTGGAACGATTGAGTTTAAATAAGAAATGAGGTCCAACCTGAATTTTCAAAAGCCTCACGGGACACGATGACATCATAACTTTTAGAAGAAAAAGTCTAGTCTAGTCTGAGTACGACTAGTCTGGAGTTGAGAAATATTATTTTAAAGGCAGTTGGCACGATGGTTTCCTACTTAGCCTAAAATGCTAGTAGGGCGCTGTATAGTGGGGAAATGGCGAAAGAACGGAGTGAAACGGTCAAAATCCTGCGAAGAAAAAGCTCCGTTCTCAGTGACTTGAAAATCGTTTTTCGTACAGAGTTTCTCATAGGCTATCTTGTCAATTGCTGCTACCGAGGAAGAATAATGGCTGCTTATGTGAACCCACGTATTGCAAATGCAGCATCACGGCCACTGTCATAACCAATCCCTTCGCTCAATAATTTGCTTACGAATGATGAATGCGATGCATCAAGAAGCAGTCGTCCCATTTGTGTGGGCGGCGGGCGTGGCGGCTTGCGACGCTAAAACGTGTGGCTTGATAGGTGCCGCCTTAGTAATGGGCACCTTCCTGTGGGGAGGACCGCTATAACAGCGCGCCCGCAGGTCGCGAAATTTTAGAATCGCTGTAAGGAGAAATTGATCCTAGTACCTCTCTTGGGAATTTAATCCGAGTACCACTACCTTTAATCGCGATACCACATGAAAATTTCGCCATCAATAAAACTCTCCTTTTCATAGAGCGCACCTACGTCGGAGAGCCCCATGTAATTTGCAAGTCCTGAACATCTCTGCAAGAGGCAACGTAAAATTTGGGGCATCAACCGCCTTGATAGTGCCGCACTCGATGTGCGCTGCTGCGATTCCGTCCTTATGAACCGTAAAACTCTCCTAGTTCATGTTGATAGTTAGGGATAAAAGGCCGATCTATCATAAGCCTTTACTCAATTGTTATCGTCCTTCCGTCCTGAGACGGAGTTGAGAAAAAGAGGTGCACTAGTTGAGGAAAGATGCCGTGGCGTTGATTGTCTCCGCCCACTGAACCTTCGGACGGACTTTTCGAATCCCTGCGCTCGACATATCACATTCGGACCTATCACCGACGCGAGTTGCCACTGTAACCCTTATTTAGAGGCTTGACAAGGATCCTCTGTCAGGCTTATGAACCGACTGCGAGTTTTTAAGCTAAGCGTCAAGGTGTTTTGTAGAAAGATATGACCAAAGGTGTCAAGCGGTGAGCACGAAGAGAATGAGCATTGAGCGTGAGATCAGCTTGATTTCCAATCACACCGGCTATGACATACCAATTGCAGGATCTTTGGACGTTATGGTGTCTTAGCAGGTGGACTTAATACCAAGAGTATTGAACACCTTCAAAACGAGGCCATCGAGATTGTCGAAGGCGTTGATGGACCTGTCCAAGAGTCCGTTTGGATAGTTGATGAAGGTATGTCTCCAAGTTTCTCCATAAAATCAAAATCTTCCTTGCTTTCCGCTACGAAATGTTGTTCATAGCGGTTGTATCGTGTAATAATTGCAAATTAATTCTTTTGTAACTTTGTGAACTTCATTCATAACCTTTTGAACTTCTTGAGAAGACGGTGAGCCTTCTCGGTTATCAAGTCAGTTTTGATTATTCGAGATCCGCACCCATTTTCTCAAATTTCTGCATCAACAAGATTATTTATCAACATGTAATTTATTCGCAGTCCAATGACCCTAAAAACTATGAAAAAGATCCTCCGAGACGCAGGAATTTTTCGTCAGCAGCAAGCTTCCTTTCCTTCTTCATTTGTTGACCTGGCGCTTTGCTACGCTTCTTTGTTTTGCGTTTCCCTTCCAATGGCATTACCGTATTTATATTCTCATTTAACAGAGGCGTAACGCAAAAACAGGATTATATCTCACTTTGATGCATACTTCATTCCTTCCTCAGCTACATGGGAGCCGTTATGGCTAAAATGACCGAAAACATGATGAGTAAGTCCAGCAACTGGAGAGCAGAGCACGAATCTGGCAGCGTTGACAGGGACATGTTCCATCATACGCACGGAAAACACTGTAAACAAGTGCACAGGCTCGCCATGGACCTCCCTGAACCTTATAGACACATTTGCTCGCGTGACAGACATTTACGGCAACAAAGTTGCACCATCCCATCACCTCTGCGCGGCCCTCAGTGCGCGGCGCATCCAAAGTTGGCGTGATCGGCGCTAAACGAACCATATCCTGCTCCTGCTCCACCACAGGATACGTTCTACATGCGTTCCTGGCTATTCGAACACGCTCACTTGAAACGGTACACAGGAAACGGGTTTTCGCGCAGCTGGGAGTGTTCCTCAAGAAATCCCCATAGCGAGATCTCATGAATCCCGAGAGCTTCAGAAACAGTTCAAGAGGTTTTTAGAAAGAGAAAATCTTCAAACACTCGAAACCATTCTCAGATTTGTGAAATGTTGAGTTACAAAAAAATATATGATGTCAAACCTGTTCGGTTGAAAGCACTCCCCAACGAATCCCTATGGCAGATTTCTCTGTGATTTTTGCGACGTTCATAAACGTTTTAGTACTTTTAGGAAGTGCAAACCTTCCTCTACACGAGTACGGTCTCCTCTTCCCCACAGGTCCGCTTTTGAGGAAGTTATGGTCCTTCAAAGACACCTACCTCAGCTGGAAATTCTCGCTCCATGGCTAAAATTGCCGAATAATCTCCTGTCACAGCCGCAATTACATGCGCTTCTGCTACCGTACTCCACATAATCGGGGTAATGCATTTTTACGGCGGTTTGTATAACTGTTACGTAGTGAGACAAGCCTAACTTTCTCTTTTCCTCGTCCTCAATCTTGGGAATAGACGTTGTGTGGCTCGCTGATGGCCGCTCCCAGAGAGGGAGTCCACCTCAGGTTAACGAATGCTCATTGAATTTAATCGCGATATATATGTTATTATTACCATGTGTGTTTCAAAACGGCCATCGAAGAAGTTCATCATACGAGTTTCTCATAATACGATTGTACCGTTTTTTGTTTGCAATCATCTCTGTATTGTTCTATTATGTCATGACTTCAAGTCGTCCATTTAGTATGGGCACCTTCATACAAGTAGAATTTCATAGTGGGCGTTTCATAGTTTCATTTAAGGCGAAAAAAAACCGAACGGCAAAAAAAGGGGGGGGGTCGTACCGAACCCCCAAAAAAAAAGGGGGGGGGGGTCGTACAGGCTCGACCAA